CCGGTTCCTCCGCCTTGCACACGAGGCGCTCGTGGCCACGTCCGCGGAGTCCAGCCTCATCGTGGACCCGACCATCCAGGATCTCCTAGCGCGTCTCCAGTACGTGCTGTCGCCGCACGGGAACCCCATCAAACACTCGGAGAGCATCCAGCTGAACGAGAGCGGGCAGCTCATGATCCAAAGCTTCTACGAGCAGTTCCCGGACCTCAGCAACAATTTCTTCATGGACGGGCCGGACACCTCCGTGTCCAGTGGCAAGAGCGCCGACTGGGTCTTCCCGGTCGAAACCGCGGCCACGAGCCTGGGCTCGGAGTTAAGCGATGCGGCGGGCCAGCGGCTGGCCCGGCCCGCTCGCAAATTCCCATGCCGGGGCTGTGACATGCTGTTCCGCCGGTCCTCGGACCTCAAGCGCCATGCCAAGCAACACTTGACGGTGCCGGCGAACATCTGCACGCAGTGTGGCAAGGGCTTTGCCAGGCGGGATGCACTCAAGCGGCACACGGGCACATTGACGTGCAAGCGCAACGCGGAGAAGAGGCTTTACTACACGAATCTTGGTCCGGGCGAAAGGTGATGGGCGGGGCTGCGGCCAACGGCCCGGGCTTCGGCTGTCTGGGCCGGATAGCGATGGCGGGGGTCGATGATGGTGTGACACTGCCTCTTGCTTCCTTCTATTGCTGGTGTGATATCACCGGCCGTTCCTTCATTCTGTTGCTGACGCAATACTGCTGCCCGCTTTTCCAGCCTGTTGATGAAATGGCGCTACTGCCCGCTTATTAGTCTGTCAATGGTGTGGCTTTGCTTTCTACGGCTGGAAGGCATTTGGGGTGTGTCACTATCGGCGATTGCTAAAAACCATTTCTGACCACGATTCCAATTTCTCGTGACTCGATTACTTGCTTCTTCAGCATTGATGGCGCAACACTACTGCCCACGGCCTCAAGACCGGGACTATGCATCGATGCGCTTGAACTGATCTTTCCGCGATTCCGGAGAAAATCAATCTCATCCCAAAACATTCTCTATGCGGCACCGAGGCGCATTTACAAGCTCTACCGATCGTCTGCTGGTATACATTCAAACTCCGCGACTAGCTTAGCACGTTTCAAGGATGCACTTACGTGTGTGCACGTTGGCACGTGACTTTTGCAAGCAGGGCTGGCTCCATATTAGACAAACCCTGGATACCTTGGAAAATGCTAATCGTCGGATCAAGCGGGTGGTTGAGGAGTCCGGGTTTCTCTATCATGCTCATCTTTCGCAGCCGTGTCCGCACCGCTGATTAAAAAGCAGCCAGACAGGCGGCAGAAATGCCCACACTCAAACTAGTCTGCCGCAACCCTGGCCTTGGCGGAGGCAAAAACGGGTGCCCATCATAGTCGAAAACTAATGTTCTCCCAAATCAAGCCGAGGCACTGGACACTGTTTTCCGCGGCATCATAAGCGCATTGCTCCGCAAGGCTGGACGTCGCGCATGTGCAGGCTCATGCTCTTACGGTCTTCGCGTCGTCACTGGCTCACATGTGGAGAACGGCAAACAGCCCGAAGTGGAGGATTTCGATATGGGCGAGACAGGCTGATCCGGCGAGGTCTACGCCCACTCAAACAGCGAAAGTGAGAAAAGGGCAAAAAACCACGAAAGAGTTTGCAGATTTTCGTTTTCCGCATCGTGCGTCAAGAAAACCACGGACTACTCGCGGGGCCCAATGATCTCACCGTGCGTTCATTTATTAGGACACGCTTAGCTTCCTGCCAGCAACCCGGAGTGCCACCACACTTGGTCCTTGTGTCCAAACAGCCATCCGAACCACAGCTGCCTGTCACGAATACCCCAGGCCCCCAAAAAAAAAGAGAGAAAGAAAGAAGGAAAGAGAGAAAGAGAAAACAAATGAAAGTGCTCTTGGTCCCGGTCCTGCAAGCAAAGCTCCAGAAGCCTCGGCTCAGTTGGGCAATGCCGGGGTGCGCACGGCCATCGATGCACTTAATCCTCGGCCTCACTGACTCGCACGTCGATAACGCGGCCTATATAAAGGACCCTCCCGGTCAATGCGGGCCGAAAGCTCGGACTCAGTCTTGGCCATACTGAACACGCTGGACAGCTTCCGAACACAGATCCTGAAATCGGTTCCGAAGACAGCTTTTGTGAACAACTTCTGAAAACAGCTTGTGATAACAGCGTCTGGAATAGCGTTTGAAAACTGCTCCTGAAGATAGATCCAGAAACAGTTGCTAAAGACAGCTCCTGAAGACAGCTTCTGAAGACAGCTTTGGAAACGCTCCTGGAAAAGCTCCTGGAAACGCTCTTAACGCTCCCGGAACAGCTCCTGACAGCCCCTAAAACAGGCACACACCTGGTCCGTCCGACGCCACCGAAGTCCAAACCAGCGTCGCCAGAAACCTAAGCCAGCATGTCGTCGCCCGCCCAAAGATTGCAGCACGTTTCGCAGATTCTCGGCTCGGCGGCTCCCGCCGGGGCTCAGCCGCTGAATCCCCCCACCCCCTTCCGGATCGCCGTCATCGGCTCCGGGAACTGGGGCACGACCGTCGGCAAGATCCTTGCAGAGAACGCCGCCGCACGGCCCCGCATGTTCAAGCACCATGTGCAAATGTGGGTCCACGAGGAGCAGGTGGCCGGCCGCAACTTGTCGGACATCATCAACCAGGACCACGAAAACGTGCGCTACTTGCCCGGCGTCAAGCTCCCGGCGAACTTGAGGGCCAGCGCCAGTCTCGTGGACGTGGCCAAAGACGCGGACTTGTTGGTGTTCAACTTGCCCCATCAGTTTTTGCGCCGCATCACTAGCGACTTGAAGGGCAAGCTCAAGCCGCGGTGCCGGGCCATCTCGTGTCTCAAGGGCTTGCACGTGACGGGCTCGGGCTGCTCGTTGTTGAGCTCGTACATCTCCGAACAGCTCGGCATTGCATGCGGCGCGCTATCCGGCGCCAACCTGGCCCCGGACATTGCCCGCTGCAAATGGTCCGAGACCACCGTGGCCTACACGTTGCCTGCCGACTTTGCCGGTGCCGGCCACGACATTGACTCCGACGTGTTGAAAGCTGCGTTCCACCGGCCGTATTTCCACGTGAACGTGATCGAGGACGTCGCTGGGGTTTCCGTCGCTGGCGCGTTGAAAAACATCGTGGCCTTGGCGGTCGGCTTCGTCGAGGGCCTTGGCTGGGGCGACAACGCCAAGGCCGCCATCATGAGAGTCGGCTTGGTGGAAACCATCAAGTTCTCGCAGATGTTTTTCCCGGAGTCCGCGGCCGCGACCTTCACCAAGGAGTCTGCCGGCGTGGCCGACCTCATCACCACGTGCTCCAGCGGACGTAACGTGAAGGTGGGGCGCCACATGGCCGAGACGGGCGACGACGCCGAAACGGCCGAGAAGAAGTTGTTGAACGGCCAGTCGTCGCAGGGCGTGCTCACCGCCAAGGACGTGCACGACTTGTTGGTCACTGTGGACAAGACCGGCGAGTTCCCGTTGTTCGAGGCCACGTACCAGATCATATATGGTACCGAGAGCATCGAAAACTTGCCGACGTTGTTGGGGCGGTGCTAGGGCACCTGCGTCACGGCGACGGGCGGCCCGCGAGGAAAGTACATATAGAAATAACGGATAGATTCAAGTGGCAGTGTATTATGTTGAGGTGTCCGGCGGCCGCTGGGGCCTCTGCCGGTTGCAAGCACCAGGCACGGGGCCGCTGCAGGCAGCCCTCAAGGCGCTGTTTTCCCGGAGCCGTTCGTCCTGGCTCGCTTTGTATGGAACTTCACCAAGAACTTGTCCATCCAGACGTCGCAGAACTCCCGGAGCTTTTTGATTTTGGCCCCGTCCAACTCCTTGGGAGGAGAGCTCTTGGGGTCTTTCTTCAACTCCTTCGCTGCCAACACCTTCACCAACTCGCGCGCACAGCCCTTGATGTTCTCGTGGCCGATGCTCCCCTCATGTTTCTTGATCAAGTTGGGCACGTAGCGAGCGAGCGTGTTTGTCCAGAGAGACTGCGAGACGGAAAAGTTTTTCTCCTTCATGGAGGCGCTGGCCACGGCCGCCGCCTCGCGCCGCCGCTGCCGCTCCTTGATTTTGGCTATGCGGTCTTGCTTAGCCTGCTCCTCAAGACGCTTTTTCTCCGCGGCCTCCTGCTGCGATTTCAAGATGAGCTCCTGGAGAAGCTTTTCCTTCTCAAGGACCCCGTTGAACTGGTCTTCCTTCTCCTTCCGTAGGTAGTCCTCGTGGATCTTGTGCGGATTGCTGTCGTCGAATTTCTTTGCGTGGCGCGGCGGTTTCTCCTTGCCCACCGGCGCTTTCTCTTTCTGGGGGGTGCTCTCCTTCTTGGCACCCAGCTTGGGCCCCTTTGGCACGGCGGACGCAGGGTGCTCCCACTTGGAGATGCCCATGCCTTTGTGGTAGTAGTAGTAAGTGTTTGTGTTTGTATCAAGCGCTTTCTGCCAGCCCGGAGGAAGCGGCTCGGCGTCCTGTTTTTCGGCGTCCCAGCCAGCAGCGTTGCCAGGCAGCTCGGACCGCGGGTTGCGGCCGTAGTCCGGCGACATGGAGGTCTTGTCGTCAGCTCTGGCCGCATTCTCGTTGTTCTTGGGGATACGGTACGCCATTTGCAATTGGCTCCACTCGGCAAGCAAGTCCTGCGCCAAACTGTGGATCTCCGCGTTCAGCAGCGTGTCCACAATCTCCTTCACGACGTCCTCGATTTGCGACAGCTCGATCTTGTTTCTGGTCATGGACGGCCACCGCTTCAACGTCAGCAATATCCGCACAACCATGTCTTCCTTGGACGCGTTCTCCTTGAGCACGCGCGACAATGTCTTGTAGCCGTGAAACTTGACGATCAACGAGTTGATCCTGGGCTCCTCTGTCAAGTACACGCGCTCCACAAGCTTCTCCACAATGCTGGGCTCCTCTGCTTTCATCAATGCGCTCATGGCACGTGCAACGTCGCCGTCGGTCAACGACGCAACCTCCACGGACTTGACAAACTCCTCGTTGACCCCGGCGTCGGGGTCCTGGGCGTTGCGGACCTTTTTGTTCACCTTCAACCAGGCTCGTTCCTGCTGTTTCGTCACGCCTAGCGCCTCGGACAAGCCGTCCGGGAGCAAGAGCGCAGCGTCCGTCTGCGTCTTGCCGCCCATCCACCCAATACAGCTGGCAGAGCCACAATAGCAGGGCTGCAGCTGTGCACCGTACCGGTCGACGTTGTAGTCGAAGGTGATCTCCTCGCCCTTCTCTATGGCGCGCTTGGAGAAGATGCCCATGCGCAACTTGTCGCCCACGACCCACTTGTCCACGTACGAGTTGGGCAGGCACGAGTGGTTGCAGAACCGGGCCAAACAGCCCTTTTCCGTGGCGTCAATGAACGCGTCTTTGGTGAGCATCATGAAGTAGAAGTGCCGGATCTGGCGCGTGTCGTAGTCCACCATGCGCTGGCGGAAGCTGTCCTCGCCAATGACCTCTCCCACATACTCGTATATGAACAGCTGTTCTGGGATCCGCTCGTTGGCCACAAGCCCGTACCCTTTTTTCTCGGTCTGGATGACCTTCACGTCACAATACTGCTGTTTTTGGAACCGCTGGTTCTGGCAGTCCTTGCCGCAGAGACAGCCCTTGTTTGTGCACTCGACAGAAGTGACTCTGTTGATACAGTTGCTGTCTTCGCCACACGCTAGGTTGCTGGCAGACGCCTCGTCCCAATGCTCAGGACAGTCGCATGTCATTGTTTCTTTTTGGCCGGAGCGGCCCAAATGCTTTCCGTGATACACGCATTCGGCTATGGGTATGAATGTGGCCAACGCCTCGGCGGTTTTGTCTGCGGAGTCGATGAACAACTCAGGTGTATTCTCTTTGTCCGACATGATTCACACAAATGATCTAAGGACGGCACTTGGATGGATAGGGTGCCTCGACTTGGTCGTCAATCTAGAAAGCCAGTCTTTTGGAATGCGATGAAGCTTGCAACTCGCGAAAGAAGAATTGGTCTTACAAGTAGCAGGTCACTGGGCTGATGTTTGAAATAGTTTTTTGGATCAGTTGGGTCGGTGAATTTTTCTCTCCAAGGGCCGACGTTTGATAGCGAGCAGTGGTGTCTCTGTATACCAGTGAAGCGTATAGATGGTGACAGGCTCCTGGCGTTGGAGTGGCTTCTCTTTGTTGACAAGGCCAGATTCGCTTGAAACTTCACCTCAGTTTTCTCGATTTTTCTTTGAGCGACTCGCCGCGCGCGCGTGCTACAGGCTTGACGCCCCAAAACATCGTCTCTGCCAGACTGAACTGAAAATGTGCAACGTGGCCCCTGGTCTGGGCTAATTCAGGAAAGATGGTTTGCCTGTTTCTGTTCTTGATGTCGTATTGACTGTCAAAACGCCCGGCGGAGTCAGGCAGAGAGCTATTTGTTTTCAAAGTATTATTATGTTTTGCTCGAGCAGTTTCAGTATCAGATTTCTCAATTCAAGTATGTACGGTACTTCGGATCCTTAGGATACTACTATTCTCTAAAAACCCTTAAGGAAGAAAGGAAAGGGAAAAAACTTTCCCTGTACGGAAGTTTTTTCCTCTTGCCACGTGAGGGATGCCTACGTGGCGGATACCACGTGACACTCCCCGGAATGATGTAATTAGGGGCTTCACTATTCATCATTCGTCTCAGTTGATCTCGCCATGACTTTTTTTAGGGCTTGGATATCGCGATCACTCTGATCGCATACCTCTT